GGATTACTAGTACAACGCCCGTGTACTATACGGGCGTTTCATAAAAAACAAATAATCGAACAAAAAATGAAAAAGAGATGAAGTATTGTGAAAAAAAAAATAAAATTGTAAATATTTAATAAAAAGGTAATATTTTAAACATTATTATGAATTCTAGAAAACATTTTTATGAAGTATTGTTATTTTATTTAAATCATTTTTATATATCACATCAAATTTAATTTACTATTCATCTACTCACACAATTTTAACCAACTATCACTTTAAATCATTTATCTTCTACTTTTTTTTTTAAAGAAATGTGCAAAGGCAAGGTTCGAACCCTTGACATCACACGAAGTAATGAGCACAGTCACCGCTGCACCAGACGCCTACTTGCGAAAAAATATCTTCTACTTTAACATCAAATCAACGCCAATTATTTTATCTTAAATATTATTTTAATATAAAATCATAATTCCACTAACAACTAATCTTACAATTTTTACAAAAATTAACTATGATTAACGATAAAAACTAATTTTGAGTGGATATATTTGTATGACATGTTCATGTAATGCATTTCCAACTTGTCAATTTTACAATAACTATAGAAGGATGGCCAAATGGATTAATAAAATTTTAGGAAGGGAAGAAAAATCACTTATTAGTTTCAAAGTCACAAGCCAACTTGCTGGTTTGGACCAAATCATCCATAGTTTTGATTCTAAAGTTTTGATGGATGTGATTGTGTGTAGTTGGAGAAGTTGCTTTCTCATGTCACTCTCATTTTCTACTTTACAATTTTACACACAAAAGGGAAGCATCCAAATGTAGAAAGAAAGCTCCCTATATTATTTATTGTGCCCAAAGAAAAATAATAAATAAATAAATAAATAAATAAATAAGAATGTGTTTGGTTTGTGTAAAGCCATTAATCTTGTGACATTTTTAGTTCACATTGGATTGAACCATGTCAATTTAAGTTTATCCGGGTATAGTTTTTAAACAAAATAAGTAGTTCGTGAGTTTGGTTTGGCTCGACTCGTTGATCTTTAAACTTGTTCGAATTTTGTTTAGTTAATGATCCAATTTGTCCTCGAGCTTATGAATTGTATAATTCAACCCTTCTATTTGTTTTTTTTTTTCTTATAGTTCAACTCATTTGACCATAATTTATGTTCAAATAGTTATATGTGGCACACTTCAAAAGTTACAAATTCGTGTGATTACAAAATTTGTTTAGGTCAAATATTTTTTCAAAATGAATTTTTGTCATTATGTTTTATATGTTACCATTTATACGAAACGAGCCGTTCGCAAATTTTGACTATGTTTAATACAGTTTGAGTTTGATTCGTCTGATAAACGAATATAAATCAAATAATTGGGTCGTTTGATTAAAAATTAGGCTCGAAAAAAGGTCAAGCTCTAGAATTAGGAGGTCGAAGTTAATTAATCTATACCTCTAATTCTCTAAATACAATATTACTACAATCTGTCCATCACCCAAATAATAAAAGTGAAAAAGTAGTAAATTT